GGCTTTGTGCTTCTTTTCTAAAACCCTAGGCCCCTCTACCAACTGGGAGAATCCCTATGGATAGTCTCTGCTGCCTCCTCTTTGTCCTTCAATCATCTCAGAGTTAATGGTGTTCTATATTTGAAGTCTCTGACCGCTTCTTCAAGTGCTTAGTTCTGGACAAGGGGGTTCCTATTGGCTTTATCTTAACCCTCTTTGGAAGCGTGTGTGTGTGCGCGCGCGCACGCGTGTGTGTGTGTGTGTGTGTGTGTGTGTATGTGTGTGTGTGTGTGTGGTGTGATGGTGGGGGGGGTATTGCATTGTTTGAACCTAGCTTTGCCTGCCTCCACCAGGAGACCTTCAGGTGCTGAGATATTTTCACATGGGCAACATGGTCAGCAACTGGAAGATGGAACCGGTGACTTCCCCAGCGATGCAGGATGGAATCCCTATTGTCCTCTTGTTAAGGGGAAGTCTGGGCCCTTCCCACGCCAGTTAGTGGGACTTTTCCTGTTCTAGTTCCTGTTCAGAATTAAGACTTCCATCAGACACTGAAGCTCGTATGAGGCAGCATCAACCCCACTACTCTCCCAGTCCTAGAGGCCTTGGGCAAGAGAGGAGTAAAGAGGTAACCCTAGACTTGGGTCTGGGAGACCTGAGTTTGAATCCTGGCTTTGACCAAGATTCACACAGTAGCCGTGTGACTGGAATGACAGTAGCACTTTGACCTGGGACAAATCACTTCACCTTTCTAAACCTAAACTTCTTCATATGTAAAATGGGGGTCATGTTAGCATTTACTCCATCACATGGTTGTTATGGGGAGAAAAACTCTGTAAACCTTCAGGTAGATCCCAGGACCATAAGTTTAGAGCTGGAAGGAATCTTGGAGAACATCTGGTCTAACCTTCTCTGTTTGTAGTTGAGGAAGCTCAGGTTTATAAGTGAGGAAGTCCAGAGAGATTGAAGTGAATTATCCAAGTTCGTGCAAGGTGAGTGGAAAATTGGGGATTCGAAACCAGTTCTTCTGACTTCAGATATAGCACTTTCCCCACTGTGCCTCAGAAATAGGAGTGATTATTATTATTAATATGGAAGTAGTTCTTTACCACTTTTCCTACCCTCACCCCAAAGTCAAAATTTGTGAATAATTCTCCTAGAAAAACCCAGCCAGGGGCTTGTTGAACCTTACTGGGGGACATACAGTTTACCATGGTAGGTCAGACCTGCAGATTTATCCACCTTTGATTTTGTTTTTCAGTGACACCGAAGGACATTTGTGTACTGGGGAGTGGGGGATGAGGTGGTAAGAAGTGTTTAAATTATCTCTCGTGCAGCAACACCCCTACACCCCAGCCCCTTGGTCATTTCAGTTGTTCCCACTTCCTATGAATCTTCTTTGGCTCTGGGGATTAGTTGTTCAGTTGTTTCAGTCGTGTCTGACTCTTCATGACTCTGTTTGGGGTTTTCTTGGCAGGGATACTGGGGTGGTTTGCATTTTCTTCTCCTGCCCATTTGACAGATGAGGAAACTGAGGCAAACAAGGTTAAGTGACATGCCCAGGGTCACCCAGCTAGTAAGTGTCTGAGACCAGATTTGAACTCAGGAAGATGAGTCTTCCTGACTCCAGGCCCAGCGCTCTATCCACTGCACCATCTAGCTTCCCCCTGGGGATTAATAGCAAGGTGTAATGGTACGATCCTTGGTTTGGAGTGAACCTAGGTTGACCCTCCACCTCTACCATTTACTTATATGACTTTGGGCAAGTTACTTAACCTCTCTGGGCCTCAGTTTCCTCACCTACAAAATGAAGATGTTGGATTGGATGACCCCTTAAGATCCATTCCAGTGCTCAGCCTGTGATCCTGAAGACCAAATGCTCTTCCCTAGTCCCTGCACACATGAGAACGCACAGCTCTTTTTACCCTTTCCTCTCCTTTTCTGCCCCCAGTCGTTGTGGCTAATTCTTCCTGAATTCCTGGGGTGGAGAATTGCTCTGGAAACAGCAGGTATATGTTGTTTCAGGGGATGGTAAGATTCCAGGATGTGGCTGTGTACTTCACAAGGAAAGAATGGAAACATCTGGACTCTTTTCAAAGGGATCTCTACAGGGATGTGATGCTGTAGAATTATGGGAACCTGCTGTCCCTGGGTAAGAGCTATTTCCCTGTGTTAAGAACTGTGACTTATAAACCTGTCTTTCCCGGTGTCCTGACTACTTCCTATGATTTCACCTGTGTTGGAAATGCCTGGTGTGGAAACTGCCATTCATTTCGTATCCATCTGGTAAATAACCTACTTATTTACATGTTGTTGCCCTTTCCGCTGGACTGCCCCACTAGCCCTGCCGCAGATGAATCCTGCCTCTCTGGAAATCCTTCTCTTGGTGACTGATTCTTGGTGATTGTGTCCTTGTCTCTCCCTCTTTGTCTTTTTTTTTTCCCTTTTTTTTGGTGAGGCAGTGGGGTGAAGTGACTTACCCCCGGTCACACAGCTAGTCTCAAGTGTCTGGGGCCAGATTTGAACTCAGGTCTTCCTGAGTCCAGGGCTGGTGTTCTATCCACTGTGCCATCTAGCTGCCCCTGTCCTTGTCTCTTGGTGACGGATTCTGATTCTATTAGAATGTGAGCTCCCTGAGGGAGGGGTGGGTTTTGCCTTTCTTCAGATCCCTAGTGCTTTTGTGCAGTGCCTGGCATGTTGTAGGCATTTAATAGGTGCTTGTTGACTGACTCCAGAAATACAGATCTACAGCGTAATTGTAGAGAGCTGCCTGAACCAATTGAGAAGTTAAATGACCTGCCCATTGTTGAATAGCTAGCGTGTTCTAAGCAGGGCTTGAACCTAGATCTTCAACTCCAACCCTTTCCACCCCTTCGGGGGTTCTTAACCTGGGGTCAATAAAATTAAGATATTTTGATTACTCTTTCAATATAGTTTATCTCCTTTGTAATACTATGTGTTTTATGCATGGAAAAGCATTATTTGGAGAAGGGGTCTGTAGTCTCCAGACTTCCAAAAGGGTCTGTTTGTGACACACAAAGAAGTTAAGAATCCCTGTGCTACAAGCTGCCCCTTGTTGATAGTAATAACTCAGATGTATATAGCATCTTAAGATTTACTTGCTTCCCTCAAAATAACCCCTTGTGAGGTAGGTAGTTCAATAAATTAGGCCAGTTCTAGATTTCAAGGGGTAGAAACCCAGCCTTATATCACAGCCAGGTTCCTGTTAGTGCAAATGATGAATCTTATGAAGTAGACATGTTATTCAGATTTGCACTGTATAATTCCACTGGGCTGGAACCAGTTATGATACATAATTATAACTTTGAATAATGTTCCATTTCACAGGATTCATTATTGTTGAGTCCTTTCTGTCATGTCCGACTCTTTGTGACCTTATTTTGGGGTTTTCTAGGCAAAGATACTGGAGTGGTTTGCCATTTCCTTCTCTAGCTCATTTTACTGATGAGGAAACTGAGGCAAACAGGGTTAAGTGACTTGCCCAGGTAAGTGTCTGAGGCCACATTTGAACTCATGCATATGAGTTTTCCTGATTCTAAGCCCAGTGCTCTATCCAGCGTACCACCCAGCTACCTGGATATATTGTGCACATTAATTGGGACCTAGCTGTACTTAAATTTAACAATATAGGGTTTGTTGAAAATATACAGACTGTCTGTTGGACAGGCTGTTTCTATTCTTCCTGGTGCCCTTCCCTTTCCCCTTCTCCTGGAGCTTCTCATAGGTAGAATCTCCTAACTTCATGTGTTTCTAATTGGCACTTCTCTGCTTATGACATCAGACCGGGGGTTTGTTGGTAAATGTTTAATAGCCGGACTCTCATGAAAAAAATATGTATGCACACACTTTTCAGTTTAATCTGCCTTATTAACACTTTCTTAAGTCTAGAATGGGGGAGGGGAGGAACCTGCGGCCTTGAGACCACGTGACCTTCTAGGTCCTTGGGTGCGGCCTTTTGACTGAGTCTAAGTTTTACAGAACAAATCCCCTAGGGGATTTGTTCTGTAAACTTTGAATTCAGTCAAAGGGCCACACTTGAGGACGTAGAGGGCCACGTGTGGCCTTGAAGCCGCAGGTTCCCCACCCCTAGCTCTAGAAAATCAACAAAACAATAAGTCAAGTCTTGATTTGTATCAGTCGCTGATTTTGGAAGTGTAAGTATTCACACTGAAAAGTTAAGAGTTGTGTAGAGCTGGCTTCAGCACATCCTTACATCAGACACGTCTGAGTGAGACCTTGCTTTTCTCTCTATATAATATCTGACCCTCTTCAATATACTTAGCATCCCGTTATATGTAACAGCACAGGTATATCCATACCAAACTAAGAGAGGCTAGACACTGGGTCCCATGAGAGCCATTTGATTGTGCCATGGCTCCCCTATCTACCTCTGTCGTGCTCTCAAGCAAGGCCTGGACTGCCCTACTAGCTGTGCACAGAAGAATCCTGCCCCTCTGGATATTCAGTTGTAGCTTTGTTTCTCTGAGACTGACTCTAATGTGGCCTTTCCCTGAACCTCTTTCTTTGCTCTCCCCTTCTCCATGGATGTCTCAAGTTAAGCACCATCCCTCATTCAAATTAACGTGCACTAGATAAGGGCCTATTGCTTGTAACCTCAGTGGTCCAGTTGGCCTACTTCTGAGGAAATCTCCAAGTTTCCCAAAGTAGCCACAGTGGACTAGGACAGTGACAAAACCAAGATCAGTCACTCAAGCATTTATTAAGCACCTACTAAGTGCTAGTCAGTCCATGAACATTTATTAAGCACCTACTACGTGCCAGGCACTTTGCTAAGCACTGGGGAGACAAAGAAAGACAAAAGACAGTCCCTGCCCTCAAGGTGGTCACAGTCTAAAAGGGGAGGCAACATGCAAGCAGCTATGTACAAATAAGATGCGTACAGGATAAATTGGAGAAAATAGAAGGAAAGTATTAGCATTAAAGGGGATAAGGAAAGGCTTCTTCTTGTGGAAGACAGGATTTTAGTTGAGACTTGAAGAATGCGAAGAGGTAGGGATGAGGAGGGAGAGCATTGTAGGCATGGGGTCAGCCCGCCAGGGAAGATGCCCAGAGTAGGCATGTGCTAGATGGTGGGAATATAAATCCTCTTGCAAGAAGGTTACATTTGGGGGCAGCTAGATGGCGCAGTGGATAGAGCACTGGCCCTGGATTCAGGAAGACGCGAGTTCAAATCTGGCCTCAGACACTTGATGCTTACTAGCTGTGTCACCCTGGGCAAGTCACTTTACCCCACTGCCTCACTTAAAAAAAAAAAAGGAGCTTACATCCTAACTGGAGAGATAATAGGTACGTATATAAGGTGTACACAGAAGAAATATGAAGAGAATAAATATACGTTTTTAGGGATAGAGAACACTAGCAGTTCAGGGGGATCCAGAAGGGCTTCATGTAGAAGGCAATGCTTGAATTGTGTCTTGAAGGAAGAATGGGAGTTTGCAAGGCAGAGGTGCAGAAGAAGTATATTCCTGGCATGGGGGACAACCGTGTCCAAAGACATGGAGATGGAAGATGTAGCACCATGTGATTAACAGAAGGCCGGTTTCACTGGATCACAGAGTGAGCGAAGGGAAATAATGAATGTTGAGTCTGGAAAGATAGAGTGGGGCCAGGTTGTAAAGGGCTTTAAGACAGAGGAGTTAATATTTTATCTTAGAGGCAATAGGGATCTAGTGGAATTTATTGAGCACCTGAGTGACCTGTCAGATCTGTGCTTAAGAAAAACCACTTTGGCAGCAGTATGGAAGACAGAATGAAGCAGGGGAGAGACTTTGAGGGGGGGAAACCAGTTAGGAAGCTTTTGCAATCATCTCGGTAAGACCACATGAGGGCCCTGAACAAAGGGAATGATTGTATGAATACAGAAGGGGTTGGATGAGAGAGATCATGAGGAGGCGGGAATGGCAGTCTTTAGCAATTCAGTGGAGATGTGGAATGAGAAAGAGCATTAAGCATTGCCACGATAAAGAACCTGATGGACTGGAAGGTAGTCCAGATTCGCATTTGGGCCTTCTGACTCCGAGATTAGTGCTGTTTTTCATTTCATAATGCTTCCTTTCCTGGTGACAACACTCACATGCTCAGATGAGTGTGGCCCAGGGATCAGAGTGTCGTCATTTTCCTTGGGACCTGAGACAGGACATTTCCCCTCCCTCTTTCCATATGGCAATAATCTTTGCAGAGAAGGAAATGAGCAGCTTTCTTGAATTTCCTAATAAGATTGGGAGAATCCTACAGATTCCCTAGGGAATTTCCTAGTTTCCCAGATAAACCAGATGAAGTTATTGCCCTTCTGTTCCTCGGTCCTGAGTCCTCTTCCCCCTCCTTGGAATGTGTTTCTGTCTCTTCCCATCTGGCCCTTGTCGACTGAAAGGCTGGTGCTAAAACCTGCGGCAGGCCTTAGTTTTAACCCGGCACAAACCAATATGTCCCATTTCTTTCCCTCTAAGCAGGTTTTCCATTTTCCAAACCTGACCTAATCTCCCAGCTGGAGCAAGGGGAAGAACTATGGGTTCTAGATCTGCGGGGAGCTGAGAAGAAAGAGATCTTAAGGGGCTCCTGCTCAGGTAAGAGAAAGACTGCCAGTCAATAGAAATTATTATCTCCTCAAATACTCAGACTTTCCAGATGTTAGGTCACTGCTTTAGAAGGGCTCTAAGGCAAGAGGATAAATATAAAGAAGGGTCTTAGGAGAACAATGCATCAGAGAAACACTGATGGGGAAAAGGTTGAATGTTGTTGGGATATTCGGTCAGAGTTGTCATACATTTCTGAACTGAATAAATGGTGGTCTCGGAAGATGATTTATGTGTTATTTGCATAGCAGTAGTACAACCCATGGGAGCAGATGGTCATAGTCCCATTGTAAAATGAGAAGAGTAAGGGATCATTAGATTTAGCCTTGTGAAAGGTCCTTAGAGATCACCCAATCCAATCTTCTAATTTTCCAGATGAGGGAGCTGAGGCCCAGGAAGGTATTGTTCCTTGTTTAAGATCACATAGCCAGTTAAGAAGGCAGAACTGGAATCTGAGCTCTGATCTCAACTCCAAATCCAGTGTTCTTTTGACTACACCGTGAGATAAAAGTTGAGGGTGACACCTATTGTCAGAGAAGTTGTGTTGATGTAATACTTTCCTCCTCTTTGGGATTACTTCTTTCCCCTCCTCTTATGCAGCTGCTGTTCTGCTGTTCCCCTCTTCTGACCTCTCTGCTTAGCCTTCGCTTCATCACATCTTTGATGTTCTTTTGCATACTCCTGTCAAAGCTCGGTTCCCTGAGCAAGCCAGTCCTTCCTATTCCTTTTCCCACGAATAGGATTTTTAGGCCCTACACTTGACCTGGAGCAAGGGGAAAGGCAATGGGTCTTGGATCTGCTGGGGGCTGAAGGTCTCTGTCCTGACCCCATTTTTGCCCCACAGTTCCTTGTATCTATTTATCTCTACCATATCTTCCCAAGCTATTTCCCTGGGCACATATCAGCTGAATCTCCTTTGGGTTGGCCCGTGAGTTTAAAATATTTGCCCCAACATTTCAAGTGTCTGCTCACCTAATCTTCACTTCCCTTTCCACCTAGCTGCGTGTCATAGTTTGGACAGTAGACTTTTTTGTCTATTTGGTTTTTTCCCTGCACAGATTGTTAAACTGACCCCATTTGGAAGATTGGTGGATCTAATCAAAGAAGGCCTGTAACATTCTGGAGTTGGATTCAGCCATCACAACATCATCCATAAATGGGAGCACCTGGAGGGCCTTACCATTTATAGGCAATCAACCTCTCAGCGTGGTGTCCTGGGAAGAGCTCTGGATTTGGAGTTAGAAGACCCCGGGTATGAATCCCAGCTCTGCAGCCAACTCCTTTTATGATCTTGGGCTTAACCTCTTTGGGCCTCCGTTTTCTTATCTGTGGTCCCTACAGTCTCATTCAGCTTTAGGTCTATAACCTTATTGCAGTGCTCTCTTCAGCTTTTGAGAGCTATAAGGATACAAATTTATTGGCATTTATTTCAATAGTACTGTTCCATTTCAGCAATTTTCTTTCTCAGAGAAGAAAGAAATTGGTGACCTTTTCTTTTTTCCTGTTTCAGGTCCCAGGGTATTAACTGAGGACAAGCATTTATATGAACAAGTGCATGCTTCAGAAGATACAGACTCATGTAGAGCAACTTCAGAAATATTCTTAAAGAATGGTGCTCCAGACCCTGGTTTTAGAGGAGCTTATGAATATGAAGGAAAAATAAAGAATCATCAGAGAAACCCCAAAAAAGTGATTTTGAAGAAATCCCCTTCCCAAAAGAAACGTTCAAAGCAAATAACTATAACCCACAAGAAAATTGCCATAGGAAAAAGAGACCAGGAATATAATAAATATAGGAGAAACTTGGATGTGACCTCAAATCCTGTCACATACAAGAAAGAAAATAAAGGAAAGAAACCCCATAAGTATGATATCCAGGCCAAAACCCCCCCTCCAAATCAAGTTCATATTGAACATCAGAAAACTTACGCTGGAGAAAAACCCTGTAAGTGTCATGAATGTGGGAAAAGCTTTAGATGCAGTTCACTACTTGTCCAACATCAGAGAACTCATACTGGGGAAAAACCTTATAAGTGTAATGAATGTGAGAAGGGCTTCACTTGCAGCTCACTACTTATTCAACATCAGAGAATCCATACTGGAGAAAAACCCTTTGAATGTAATGAATGTGGGAAAACTTTGAGTCGGAGTTCAAACTTTATTGGACATCAAAGAACCCATACTGGAAGTGAATGTGGAAAGGATTTCAGTTGGAGTTCCCAACTTATTCAACATCAGAGAATTCATACAGGAGAAAAACCCTTTGGATGTCAAGAATGTGGGAAATCTTTCAGTCAGTGCTCATCCCTTATTCAACATCAGAAAATTCACACGGGAGAGAAACCATATAAGTGCAGTGAATGTGGGAAAAGCTTCAATCAGAGCTCATTGCTTATTCAACATCACAGAACTCACACTGGGGAGAGACCATATAAGTGTCAGGAATGTGTAAAAACCTTTAGTCAGAGCTCTCAACTTACTAAGCATCAGCGAATTCATTCTAGACAGAAACTTGCAAATGTGATGAATGTAAACTAGTAAGTGCTCCCAAGTTATTCAGTTGAACAAAGGTATCTTACTCAATTCTACAAATGTTTATTAATCATTGACAATGTGCAAGACAGTGTGCTGAGTGCTAGTAATAAAGGAATGTACCCTAATAATTTTATTTCAAAGGTTCAGGCAAAACACTGTGAGAAGTTTGAGGAGAAAGAGATCATTTTCATTTGCATGAGACATAGCTCCTATTTTCTAGTTGTTTCTAGTCCAATGGAAGAGCTGAGAAACAAATGTAGATATCTACAGTACAAGGCAGTATATTGAAATCTTGTAAGTACATTGAATTCCATCATGTGAGTGCAAAATAAGGAGGGATTTTTTTCAGCCGAGGTCATTAGGTAGGTAACATCTGAGCTAGATCTTGAAGGATGGCCAGAATTTTGTTTTGTGACAATAATAGTACCTACCTCCTAGGGTTGTCGTGAAGATCGAGTAAGATAATCATTGTAAAGCACTTAGTACAGTGTTGGGCACATAGTAAGCACTATATAAATTTTAGCTATTATTAGTTGTTGTTATTGTTGTTGTTACCTCACCCTGAAGTTTTGTCTGAAGCGTCCTCTTTCATATTTGTAAAAGTAGTTGGTTACCTCCTTTTGTCTACTACCTTTGAACAGGAATGTCCTCTCATTCCAATAAGAAACAAATATTCCCCCCAAATCCTCCCTTTTCTCTCTTGAATGATTCCCCCTTTATCTGCACCTCTTTCTATTGTAAAAGATGTTATTTATCCTAAATTGCCTCAGAATACTGCTGATTGTGCTGTAAGCAGGCCTGAAATTTGTAAAAACTAAATTTGTACCCTAGAAAGTCAAAGCAGCTATCAGCAGTTTCTTTATCATACTCATATATTCCTTTGCTTTCAGTTTGGCCTCCTGACTTTGACCAACAGTCATTGAATCTCTGATGATGGGTATGCCTCTCCCAAGAAGTGCCATTCCTCTCTGTAGAAAAAAAATTCTGTAACACATTTTATAGCCTTAGAAAGTTTCCTGGGGGTTCTGAGAGGTTATTTGATTCTCTAGAATTACATAGACAGTGTATGTCAGAAGCAGGACTTAAACCCAGGTCTTCCTGGCTCCAAGGCCAGCTCTTTAGCCACTATGCATTCTCTGTACCAACTGGTTCATCACTATAAATTTTTTTAGAATGATCTATGCTCATACTGAGCCTCTCAATGAAAATATGAGAAGAGCAAAAGACTTTCAAAAACAATTTTCTATAGCAGATCACACATTTGTAGTTACACAATTGATGAAATAACAAAGATCATACGTTGTACTGTTGTGTATATTGTGTGTAATTGTGAAGAAGTGTTTGACTTGGTAAAGCAAAATGAAGCCTTAAGCATTCACCTCCACCACAGCTTCTCTCATGAATATGTTAAGATTACACAATATTCTTTTTTAAGTTAATTTTTTCAATCAGCAAAAGATCCATCTTCTCTCCCTCCTATCCCTATCCCCAGTTGAAAAAGAAAAACTAAAGCCCTTTCACAAACACATATAGTCTACCAAAACAGCTTTCCAGATTGGCCATGTCAAAAAAAAAATATGTCTCATTCTGTACTGTATCAGGAGGTAAGTAGTGTATTTCATCATGAGTCCTCTGGATTTATGGTTGTTCATTGTCATCATCAGAGTCCTTAAGTCTTTCAAAATTATTTGTCTTTAAAATATTGTTGTCATTTTATAAATTGTTTTCCTGGTTCTGCTCACTTCACTTTGCATCATTTCATACAAGTCTTACCAGGTTTCTCCAAAACCATCTCCTTCATCATCTCTTATAACAACATAATAAATTATATAATAATTGTATATGTGCATATATGTATACATACACATATAAAAATATGTGTGTATATATATGTGTATATATATATATATATATATATATATATATATATTTACCATAGCTAGCTCAGCCATTTTCCAATTGATGGACATTTCCTTATTTTCCAGCTCTTTGCCACTGTAAAAAAAGATATGCTATACCTATTTTTGTATATCCTTAGAGTTTGTTTTGTTTAGGACTAATCCTTTCCTTAATTTACCCTCCCTCTTGTTCTTCCCTCTCCCTTCTCTCTTTTCCCTCCTGTTTCCTGTTTAGTGAGATGTTTTATACCCAACTTTTTATATGCGTATGTGTATATTCTCCATTTCTCTGATCAGTTCAGATGAGGTGAGGTTCAAATGTCACCCTGCTACCCCTGCACTCCTTCCTCTTTCTTTGTATAGACTTCTACCTGCACACCTTAGTTATGAGAGAGAATTCCCCAAGTCTTCTCCCTTTTATGTTCGCATGGGATTCTTCCCCTCACTTTCCTTTCTTTTTAAGATCATTAGGATGTAACAGAAGGACTCACAGGCCTCCCTTTATGATGCCTGATGATAGGGTTCGGAGAGTATATATATCATTTCTCTATATTAGAATACAAACAATTTAACTTTGTTTAGTCCCTTGGATTGTTCATTCACTGTTTACATAAACACTTGTTTATGTTTCCCTTAACTCCTATAGAAGCTTCAAAGTAGCTATGCAGCTTATTTCTTATATCAGGAATGCTGAGAAGTCTTCTATTTCATTCAAATTACATTTTCACCTGCTGTGGATATTCAGATTTTCTGGGTAAGTTATTCTTAGTTATAAGCATACGTTTTTTACTTTCTGTAATATTGTATTCCAAACTTTCCCCTCCTTTATAGTGTTGGTTGCTAAATTATGTGTGATCCTGATTGTGGTTCCTTTATACTTTAATTTTTTTCTTTCTGGTTGCTTGCAGTATTTTTTACTTAATCTGGAAATTCTAGATTTTGGCTATGGTGTTCCTGGAGGATTTTCATTTTGGAGTTTCGTTTATAAGGTGACTGGTAGGTTCTTTTTCTATTTTGTCCTCTGGTTCAAAGAAATCTGGGCAGTCTTATGATTTCTTTAAATACGATATATTTTGGTCATGATTTTCAGATAATCTGATGATTCTTAAATTATCTATCCTTGATCTGATTTTAAGGTCAGTTGTTTTGCTATAAGGTGCTTTATATTATCATCTGGGATTTTTTCAGTCTTTTGATTTTAATATTTCTTGTTGTTTCAGAGTCATTAGTTTCTATTTAGTCTATTCTAATTTTCAGGGAGTTTGTTGCTTGGGCAAGGTTTTGTACCTCTTGTAACAAACTATTAATTCCCTCTCCAGTTCTTTCTTCCCCAGCTCTAATTTCTTTTCTAATTTTTTCCTCTAGCATTCTCATTTCATTGACAAAACTTTTTTTTTTAACTTTTTTCTTCCATCACTTCCAGGAATTCCAGTTGAATTTGTGCTCAGTCTTTGTTTTTCTTCGAGGTTTTGCTTGTAGGTGTTTTGGAGTCATTGTCTTCTACTGGTTTCTTCTGCCTTTGGAGTCCTGTCATCATAATAGCTTTTTATGGATGTATTCTTTTTTGGCTTGCTTACTCTTCTAGCTTTTTCATGACTTCAGACTTGATGTTAGGGCCAGGTTCAGTGTACTTCTAGTGGGAGTGTCTAAGCTGATCCTGCTGCTACTTTCTTGGGGTGTGGAGTATTGTGTTATTCTATGTTTTCAGGGACACATCAGGCTGGAAACTTTCAAAGCTCGCAATGTGCTATGATTACCCTGACTGCTGCCCTCACAATCTGAGTTCTCCAGATTATTGACCTGAGTTTGGATCTAAGCAATAGTGCCCCATTTGGAATCCCAGTAGATTTTGGCTAGATTCAACTACTCTCAGTCAGCTGGAAAGTTCTGTTTGTTCAGAGTGACAGAATATAGATTCCTCTGATCTGGAATTCGTGCCCTGGTTATTCCTCTGAAGGCTTCAGTCTGGTCTGGAAACTGGAACCGAGACTCTGTTCTGCTCCTGGGTTGCTGCTTGCTTTTGACCTTGCTCCTTGCCAAGAGCCCACTCTAGGCACAGGTCCCTATCCTGGATCTATGATTGGAAACTGGATAGTTAGCAACAGAGTTGCCAGTTGCACCTGTTTCTATATCCTACACAATCTATATCCTACACAGTCCAGCCTTTCTGCTAGATCTGGACAGCTCGATGGTACAATGGATAGAGCACTGGGCCTGGAGTTAGGAAGAACTGCGTTCAAACCTGACCTCAGACGCTTACTAGCTGTGTGATCCCGGGCATGTCCCTTAACCCTGTTTTGCTTCAATTTCCTCTTCTTTTTTTTTTTCTTTATTTCTTTTTTTTTTTTTTGGCTAGGCAATGGGGTTAAGTGACTTGCCTAGGGTCACACAGCTAGTAAGTGTCAAATGTCAGAGGTTGGATTTGAACTCATGTCCTCCTGACTCCAAGGCCCAAGCTCTATCTACTGTGCCACCTAGCTGCCCCTTCAATTTCCTGTTCTTTAAAATGAGGTGAAGAAGCAAATCACTCCATCTTCTTCTATGGTCCCTTTCTCTCATTGATGAATCTTTCACAGAATCTCTGTTTTGAAGAAGGTCCCAAGGTCGGCTAGGCCGGCCATCCTTCATTCTTCTCCAAGCTCTGCTTCTGACTTCCTGGACTTAATTATAATGCTCCTGTGTGGCTACCTTCTGCTTTCTCTGCCTTGCGTTTCAGCTCCCATTTATGTCTTCCCATATTAGAATGTAAGCTACTTGAGGGCAGACACTTTCAAAGCACTTAGTACAGTGCCTGACACTTAGTAAGCACTTAATAAATGCTTGTTGACTATTGTTGAATATATAGTTGGACAGGCATCCTAGTAAGTTAATCAAACAATATATATGTCTTTTTAGTCATGCCATATGGACAGTGGGCTAGGTTAAATCACATTTGGAAAATTGTACAGCACTTTCAGTGATACCAAACTACTCCTTGACATAAATCCCATCTTTTTTTTAACTATGATTTTTTGGTCATAATATGTGGAGGTGAATCCTGATATCCCATTATTTCTGAAGAATCAGAATTGTGGAGAATGTAAAAGGAGAATGTAAAGATATATTGTGGGGAAAAGTAGGTTGCAGAAAGTTACCAGTAGTGATTGTTTGCAAGGAGTGTTGCAAAAGATATCTAGGAAATCAGAGTAGGATTTTTCTGGAGGCATGAAGAGGGGAGAAGCTAAGTTGGTCTTGCAGAGAGTGTGAAGGATAAAAGATGGAGAGCCTAAGCACTATACTGGTACCCACAGAATGTTCACATCTAGAGTGAGGCCTCTAATACACTGGGAAGATTTATGGGAGAACATAGATAAGAATTGCACAGGATTAGAAGGCAGGGATGGGTGGCGATTCCTGCTATTGGAGGGAGGGCTCACATCAGTGAGAGCAAAATCAATTTCATTTTGGAAGAAAAGATCCATTTCTTCCAAATACATCTTCTGGGTGAAGCAATATGGCTGTGAATCATGTTACACTGAAGTCTCTGAATAAGTAAAATTTCTGGTGATCCAAAAAGGAATGGAAAGACCCAACTCTTACTCCTTTTTAACCGCCTTTTTAAGACTGGCCCCTAGCCTCCACCAGCCCCTGCCTTGACCATCCAGCAGGGCTAACAACTGGGCATTTGCTCTTCTACCCTGTGTACAACAGCCCCTTCTTGCCATATTCCAACTCCTTCTTATGGATTGATAATCAGATCCACTTTATTTGTGCTACTGTGAAGAGCATGACAATCTACTGGTAGGCAGTTAGATGGTACAGCTGATAGTGAGTTAGACCTAGAGTCAAGAAGACCTGAGTTCAAATCCAGCCTCAGATACTAGCTGTGTGACCCTGGGCACTTAACCTCTGCCTCAGTTTTCTCAGCTGTAAAGTGGGGATAATAATAGCATCTACCTCTCAGGGTTATTGAGAGGATCAAATGAGATAATATTTGTAAAGTGCTTGGCAAACTTTAAAGGGGTCTATAAGTTCTAATTATCATCATCATTATTATTATTATTAGTGCTGTTGTAGTTATTATTGCCCCATGGAATCCTTATGTTTCTGAGCTTTAGTCTACCTAGACTGAAGCTCTCTTTTGTGACTACCATTCCTTGCTCCCTCTTTCCCATCCATGTCACCCCATCCCTCCAGTGTCCCTTGCCGTACTCTGCCCTCTTTGTTATTGTTTGGTTATTTCAGTCATGTCTGACTCTTCATGACCTGGTTTGGGGTTTTCTTGGCAAAGATACTGGAGTGGTTTGCCATTTCCTTCTCCAGTTTATTTTACAGATGAGGAAACTGAGGCAAACAGAATTAAGTAACTTGCCC